TTTTACAGTTAACATGCTAGACTGAAACCCAGAAGATAAACTCTTTCTTATATTGTTCCTACTTTCCAAAGGCATATATTGTTTGATTGATGCTTCGTCTCTTGTTTTCATATATAGAAGAATATTTTACCGTGAAATGACATGAGTTCTGGAATATTTTATGGATCATGGTCTACTAATTTTTTCCCTTTTGCATTGTTTGCAGCCGAGCATGCATTATGCAACATTACTAGACTACTATTTCTCCAGAACTTCCATTCCCTGCCACTAATTATACGTTTCTTAAATTTAACAGATGGTCGACTCAAGATTTAAGGAGCTTTTTGATCACTCTTTGCTTCTTTTGAAGAAGAAATGGCTGTTTGATATACTTGATGATTTTGTCACAAAACAGCTTCCACATAATGTTACTTGGTTTTTGAGCTTATTATATGCCTTAGAGCACAAGGGGGACCGAGCCTTGGTTACTACTCAAGGTTAGATATCTAACTTGACTTGGTAGTACTTTCTGGTTTCTCCATCTCTCTGAAAGTACTTAACTAATTTTTAGGTGAGCTGGCACATGCATTGAGGTTCCTGGCATCTGTTGTATCTCAAAGCTTTTTAGCTTTTGGTGACATCCTAGAACTGCATAGAAAGTTTCTGGAGCTATCGGGGAGTATCAACCGGATTTTTGAGCTTGAAGAGCTTCTTGATGCTGCTCAATCTGGTATGTCTAATTTACTCTTTCCTAATGTTGTTTATACCTTGCGTTTCTTTTTGTGTTCTCATTTATTTTGTTGAAACAATGGTATGAAAGGAATTTCGTCAAATCTCGAGTTGCTGGCATTCTTCTGAGTGTGAAAAAACTTTACAGAATTCAAATATTATATGTTTGGAGGCATAGGTTTTCTGTTGGTATCTTCAGGGAGCAATTCATAAATTACAACAATTTAAGAGTTGGGGGCATTTGCAACTTAAGCTGCTTACAGTATTGCACTGCATACATTGTTCCTCAGACATTTCAGCAAAAACCATAACTCATTGGGCTTTACCAAAACATGGGATTTGTAATGTTTTCTGTGTTTCAATTGAACATACCTCTGCTCATAATATCTATCACTTGATAAATTCTTTCTCATGATGGATTTGCTTCTGTATGACACATCTGTTTTGACCTTCATAAATATTTTTCCTGATCAGCCACAACTCTGTATCTATTTGACTAGGATCAACTTCTTTTCTCAAGTCATCTTTTGTTGTTCAATTTATTTATTTTAAGACCAACTTAGTTGTCTAAATTTTGCACATTAATCTAACAAGATTGTCATCTAACCAGGGGATTTGAGCACCGATAATTTGTTGCAGTCTCAGAGGACTGCTCTCTCTGCTAAAGATGTTATTTCTTTTTCCGAGGTGGATATAATTACGCCGGCACAGAAGCTGTTGGCTAGGCAGTTGACATGTGATGTAGTCCCAGAGAAAAGCCTGCTAGTTACTGGTTAGTATAGGTATTGTTATTGTTTTCCTTGATAGGAGATTTGTATCTGACTTGCCTTTAATCTCTTAAGGTCCAAACGGGAGTGGCAAAAGTTCTGTTTTCAGAGTACTTCGAGGTCTGTGGCCCATTGTGAGTGGAAGGCTTTATAAACCATCGCACCATTTTGATGAAGAGACTGCATCTGGTGGCATCTTCTATGTTCCTCAGCGACCGTATACGTGCTTGGGAACTTTAAGGGATCAAATCATATATCCTCTCTCTCGCGAGGAAGCAGAGTTGAGAGAATTAAAATTGTACGGACAAGGTAAACCTACTTGCATAAGTTGCACTGCTTTCCTTATCTTTTGAGTTTCTAATTTGATGTCACAATGTACTGAAGTTGTCTCTGTGCTTTTGGAAATTGTGAACATCTAAAATTTTCAGGTGAAAACGCAGTGGATGCCACCAGCATTCTTGATGCGCGTTTGAAGACCATTCTTGAAAATGTTCGATTGAATTATCTTTTGGAACGGGAGGAAGGTGGTTGGGATGCTAATCTCAATTGGGAAGACATCCTCTCACTCGGAGAACAGCAGAGATTAGGCATGGTGAGTTAAGCTAACTTCTGCACCTTTTGGACAACAATATTCTACATCTATCCCAAGCGGAATTATGTTCATTTGATAACAAACTTTCTGTTTTAACCAGGCACGGTTGTTCTTCCACAAGCCTAAATTTGGTATCCTCGATGAGTGCACAAAGTATGCAACTACTCACCTATGTATTTTGCTTAAAAACTGGTAACTAGCTGTCTAATTAACTGGGTATTCTTCTCATGGCAGTGCCACGAGTGTCGATGTTGAGGAACCACTTTATAGACTGGCAAAAGATTTGGGTATTACCGTTATTACATCATCACAGGCAAGTAGTTTGATCCGACAAACATGCAGCCGGCTGTTTTCAGAATGCATATTTTAAAATTCGATGGATGATAAAACATTTATGATATTCATCATGATTCCTGACTCGAACATTGCAACAAAATTAGTTCCGTTGAATTTAAACTCTTCCTTTTGCTATCTATTGTGTTTTCCCAGCGGCCTGCTCTAATACCGTTCCATGCTTTGGAGTTACGACTTGTTGATGGCGAGGGTAAGTGGGAACTTTGGTCAATCAAACAATGAGTAGGGTGCAACAATGAGCTTTGTGTTTGTGATCCATATGATGGTATACACAAGAACCGGAGTGCGGAGCCAACTTGAAGCTGACTTTGTTGTTTCGAGTTGACATGATTATGGAGAAGGATAAATTCTTAATCATGCTCAGAACAGGGCAAGTCAAAGATGATGGTAGGTGGTAGCGAGAATTATAATTTACCTTTCGTTAGAACAGATTGCTGCAAATACTTATAGTTAGGGAATGCTTAAATGAGAAGAAGCAAAGTATAATCATAACTATAATATAAGTAAGCATAAAGATATCATTCGTGTACAGGTTTCTCATTCCCTCTCCTATCCCTATTCTTTTTACCCTTTCTTTTATGGGATAAAAATCCACGGGTTGTAAGAATTGATGCCCAATGAAGGGAATAGGCTATTACATTTTTTACCCCTTATGATTATTGTCATATCTACATGGTTTTTAAGAGAAATATTATATGAAATGTAAAAGTTTGGATTTACTCCAATTAATAATATCTACCAGTATGAGTCATCCCTATAATACCGTCATAAACAGATAAAGATCGTTTATTTACCAAACAAAAAAACCGTTTCAGCTTCTTGATCCTACAAAATAATCGTTTATAGCTTATTTAATTTTTAATTAAGCTGCTGATAGTTATCACCCGTCTTGGTGTGTGTGTGTGTGTTTTCCCACATATTTGTATGATGAAAAAAAAATCAATTCTCTTAGCATGAAGGTATGCAGATCAATATTTTACAGATTTTTTTTTTATTTTTCGATATTTAGTTCAAGTAAAATAAATTTTTCAATCATGTTAGTATTTATTTTTATTTTATACTATATACATTACATAGCATGTAAATGTTAAATAAAATCAAATAATGTATGTATGTGGTTTTAAGTCCTAAATAATAAAATCGTTACCCTCTAAGAAACATAGTATTTAAAATTAATAAATTGATCAATATTTTAACCCAAGAATGGTAAATTTTAAGATTTAATCCTTAAAAATGAATAAACTTAAGTTAATTTTATACTAAAATAGTCTTGGGAGTTTTTAATTGAACTTTTGCCTCCCTAATTTTTCTCAACCTTTTGTAAGTTGACATAAATGCGCTTGCAAACCCCTATTATTTTAATTGATTAATTAATAATCTAATGTTGTTGGTGTTTCCAACTAAAGCTATGGGCAATTGTTTAGGGCAAGTGTATGCTGTAGTGTATTGGCATGGCAGTTGGGTGAGATATCGTTTTCAGCAACACATACAAATCCATAAGAAGAGTTGAGCTTAGCTGCGCCAAAGAAAAAGAGTGGTGTTTTTGCTGATAATGCAGCACGGAATCTGTTGCGTTTAACACTGTTATGGGCTAGCAAAGCTAAGGTCAAACTCAAAGGGCTTGGTGTTGGGGACAAGGACCATCTTAAAGGCTCCATGGCTTTCCTTTTCCCTTGCGTGGCTTCCAAGGCAGTTGAATTGGATTACGATTATGCAGCGGAGGAAGCTTTTGCTTACTTAACAGAAGATGAGGAGGAAGAGGAATGTGAATGCAATGGATTGAAAAGTTCATAGCTGAGTTCTAAATATAAGGTTGGAGGGTTGATTGAGATCAACTCAAAGAGTTGTTTTATATAGAAATCTCGATTCTCATGGGAGTGGCCGTAGTATCTTTAGCAATGGCTACCATGGATTGTGGTTTACACTTTACAATGTCTTCTGTTAACTGAACTTGCTATTTTATCAAAGTCGTACTAGATCACTCATTTGCACTAATTTTATAGTATTGACATTACTAATTAGGCAGAAAACATGTAAAACAGACATTATGCAGTGATTTGGACCTTAACATTTGGCCTCTGTGGGAGCTTGAACTTTATTTCCCAGTGAAACCCATCAGCAAAGGAAGGCAAAGTGAATGGAAAAGCATCAGCGAAAGGGCCTCAAGGGATTGTTGAATGTGACTTGTTGGCCATTGATTAACATGTTTCTGCTGAGATAATCGGCAGAATGGGACTGAAGGAAAACAAAGGTTAAAAATTAAATTTGAATCAACCATCATTAATGGTTGAAAAAAAACCTTTCGACTCCACTGGGGATCGAACCCAGAATCTCTGGTTCCGTAGACCAGCGCCTTATCCATTGGGCCATGGAGTCGCTTGCTGATGATTTGAATGGTGTAATATTATTTTGATTTTGAACCGCTTAGTCTGAGCCCAAGCGACAAAGGCCAAAATGTACCAGATTACTTGAGGATTTACTTTAAGCGTACTCTTCCTCGTTATTTTCCTTTGCGGTGGGCCGGTGGCTACCAAAATGAAAGGGAAAGGAGACTGGATAATATAGATGCGATATTATATTATTATTTCAAATATGTTGCTTTTGTAGCTGAATTTGGCAGAAGAAGGGGTTTTTTCTTTCACGGAGAATATAAATGGAATACAGAATCAGACACCACTCAAATCGACAAAAAAGGTAGGAATTTGAGGTGTAAAAACATAATCTTTTTTGTGAATTGGATTGGATAACAAAAGCAAGGAAATGGGAAAGAAAAAATCACTGAGGAGCAAAGCTGTTCACTTCGTAGCTGATCTCACCACTGGCCTTCTTAACCCCATCTCTGATAAAACCTCCACGCCTTCCCATCCTCCTCATGTAAGCTTTTTTCTCTCTCTCTCTCTCTGCTTTCGTTTACATATCTTGAAAAAGGCTTCCTTTGCCCCTTTTTTAAGGTTTTGAATGCTTACTATTATCATAATTATGATGATCACGATGATGTTTGCCCTTCTTCTGATGTTTGGTCAACGTCCCAAATAAGGTTTGATTTTGGGTAGTTGAGATATAGATTTTTTGTGTACTTTGATTGTTCTGTTTTTTCATGTTGTTAAGGTATCTGATTGGACTTTACAAGGTTGCATCTATCTCTACGCCTTTTCTAATTATCATTTTTGGGTGTTTTGTTTTCCTTTTCCCCTCGTTTGCCTTGGTTGATCCTCCCTTGACATTAGAATTATTCCACTGTTTGTCGAAATTCATTGACCGAACTTCAATTTTGGTTTAAAAGTGCAGGTTTTATCGTATTGTCATTTGAAACTTATCTGAATGAAATTACTGCTTAAGAATTGCAACCTTGTAAAACGAGCAAATGAGTATTGACTGATTAATGTGTTTTGAAGATTACTGTTTTACTCTCTTGGCAGCCTGCGATCACGTTTTTGTTTTAACTGTTCCGATTTTCTTTCTGATAGGAAAATGTGAGTGTCTCAAAAACAAGTCAATCAGAGACTGGGTCAATCAGCAAGGAGGATGATCATGATCTAATTGATGGCCCTGATACCTCTTCATTTACTGCATTCCTGTATTCACTCTTGTCTTCTTCGGAATCAGGTCACAATTTGAATCAGGATGAGCAAAATGATAATCAAGAGGAAGCTGGTGATTCATCAGACAACAAAATGAAAGAGAATGGTAGAAGGAAAAGCTTGCTTGCTAGGGGTAAGCAATCGCTTAGAACTCTTTACCATGCTACTAGGATCATTGGAAACAAAAATCAAGACAAGGGTGACGATTCTGATGTCAAAAGTGACAATGAGGCCAAGTTTGATGGGCTCGAGATGAGACATATCCAAAATGTTAAGGAGCCTTTGGCTCTGGGAGATCTTCCTGAAACTTCTGAACCATCATTGCTTCTTACAGAGAAGACAAGAAATGCTCTTTATGAATCACTTCCTGCTATTGTTCATGGGAGAAAGTGGTTATTGCTCTACAGGTGAATGCCACTGGTTTTTGGTTTAATGGACTGACTTTGGTCTTTCATCTGGATATTTAGTTTTGCTTATATTTAGAAACAGTTAATTTTTTTTTTTTGGATATATCTCTATTGGCTTTCATAGTACATGGAGGCATGGTATATCACTGTCAACATTGTACCGGAGAAGCATGCTCTGGCCTGGCCTCAGTTTGCTGGTAATGGTTAAATGACTTTCTCCCCCCTCTTTTTTCCTCATTATTTCCTTGTATATTTTGCGTCTCTGATGCAGCCATGCTATTATAACTCATAAATGTGAAGCAACAAATCATTTAATGGTGATTTATTTATTCTTGAAGACTTGAACGTTTTCCATTTTCATATGTGATTTAGTTCTTGCATATCATCTTTTATATCAGTGACGTTTAGATCTCAAATCCAATTTTATTTTCTTTGCTTGATAATAAAGTTCATAAGCTATAAACATGCATGATATCAAATTCTTTATTGAGGCTATTTTCCCAGTGCAAGTCCTTAGGCGAGGTTGTCAATTTTTTATGTGCACTAATGTCAAGCGCTGATGAAATTGATTTTATCTTAGGTTGTTGGAGATCGTAAAGGTGCAGTGTTTGGTAGTCTGGTTGAAGCACCCCTAAAACCAACTAATAAGAAATATCAGGTGATGCTAGAAAATACCCTTTTTGTTCTTTTTCGTATCCAGCAGACTTTTAATTTTTTGAATAGCTTGTTTGCAATACATTTGAACAGGGAACAAACAGTACCTTTGTTTTCACCAATCGACCTGGTGACACAGTTATATTTCGTCCCACAGGTATTCCCATCTTTGTCTACGGTTTCAAATTTGAGACTATTAATTCCTCTCTGTTTAAACATCAGAGCATATGGACTGAAAAAGTTGCTATCCAATGAAGATATGCATGTGTTTCACAACATGGTATACTGACAGCTGAAACGGCATTTAACCCTCATGCATGATTAACTGGTCTGCAAGGGGGAATTTAACTCTTCCAGCGTCTTCTGGTATTTATAAAAGTGTCCGAGTAAACTCGGTTCATCTAACTGGAAATATGGAACAGGTGCAAATCGATATTTCACTCTGTGTTCCACTGAATTTCTGGCTGTTGGTGGTGGTGGCCATTTTGCACTCTATCTGGATAGTGATCTGTGAGATATCTGTCCCTCTGGTTCATTTTTATTATATGAAAATATCGACCGCTTTCCCCCATTCTCCCTTTTCTCTGTCCCTTCTTTTAAATAGAATTTCTGTTGATCACAACAATTTTTTTAAATGAAACATTGCTTTCTAATATGTTCATATATTTATGTAAGATTGAATGGATCTAGCTCATACTCGGAAACATATGGAAACCCCTGTCTTGCGTTCTCTGAAGATTTTGAAGTGAAGGAGATTGAGGTATGCACTTTGCCATTCTCTCTCTCTCTCTCTCTCTCTATTCAACAACCATGTCACTATTCTCTTTGCTTCATGAATTCATATTTGCCTTGTTTGTTTGTAATATGATCATGAAGACACCTAAGTTTCTTTAAATTTATCCTTAAATAACAGTTGTGGGGCTTTGTATATGGATCAAAATACGAGGAAATACTTGCTTCAAGTAAAACAGAGATGCCTGGAATTTGCCGATGGTAAGAGCACGAGGCTATTTTATTTCTGCCTGCAATCATCAACTAGCGGATGGTTTTGACCATTTGTTACAATAACCTTTTCACGTGTGTCGACATAGACAACAACTGGAACTAGAATCTTTCAGTGTAAATGTCTTTACTGTTTACTTATGCCTGTACATACATCTGGCATCAAGCTGAATAGTGGCTGAATGTTACTGACAATATATGGAAAAGACATGTTTCAGCGAAATTTGCGGGTCACTTTATTATTCAATCATAGCTCACTTTAGAGAGTGATTATCACCATAATCCATTTCTCTTAAATTTCATTAGTCATATCAAAATTATTAACTTGGTTAACATATTCTTAGCAAATGCAATAACTTTTGGCCTTTATATAGGGTTTTATCTTTTTAAAAGGAATTGCATTACCTCAATCCTCAGTTTAATGCATCCTTCCCGTTTGGTGTAAAATTGCTGTTTGAATGAGCATTGATGTCAGAAACTATAATAGAAGATATATGTGCGGCAAATATAAGTGTTTGAGTTTGACCAGTGGCATTTAAATAACCGCAACACAATTTTACTATTGCTATCTTGCAACTGCAAAAGAAACTTTCTATCAAAAAAAAAACTGCAAAAGAAACCCAGAACAAGAAGCTGCCGTTCCATCGGAAAATAAACAAAAACTACATAGCAACACCCTAGAGGTCAACAACAGTCAATACCAAAAGAGAGGAAAGGGAAAGCGATGGGAAATCATCAAATACTTGAAAGGAGGCAGCTTCCAACATTTATATTAATACGACATTGAAGAACATGGAAGAAGTAAATGCGTTCTCAATTCAGCAATGAACTTGGTCTACATGCCAGACAGACAGCTGCCAAATAATGACAAGTCTGTGTTTATGCTGTTGCAATCTTTTCCTCAATTCCTTTTTGTATCTTCCGGGAAGGAGTATTGATCAGATTCATGGCATTGGCATCCGCTGCTTCCTCATAAGCAGAAGCATGAATACTGAGAGCGGCACGACCGGGGGGGTCAGGATTTTTTTACCATGCTGCATCCCATGCTACTGCTTTTGCCGTGCTGCACGCCACACTCGGACCTCCTGGAACTGTTGACCTTGCAGCATTCTGCTTGCAATTGGATAATAGCAATTAAAATAAACTAGAGTAACAGAAAAGACAGATGGAAAAACAGGAGGGGAACAGCATAATACCTTGGGGAAAAACTTCTCGAAGATATTTCTGTAATAGTAGCCCTCCTTTGTGGTTGGGGTATTCTCAGGGTATATAAAACTGGCATTCATCAACATTGCATCAGTGACCTGTTAAGTTTGGAAACAAAAGGTTGTTACATTTACTATGCAGCCTAATTGAAAATGTCTCTCAGAAGAACCACAGACAAATATACCTACCTGTTTTTCGGCATGGCCCTTCAAACCATCAATCCAACTGTATCCAACTCCATCACTGAACTGCTCTTTCTGCCTGTATAAAATGTGCTGAAACAGAGGGAAAATGAAGTTTCAATCTTCCCGGAAGTTTTCCATACGAAATCATATCGAAATATTAATACACTGAAGAAATATAAGCAAAGAAAAGAGGACCAGATAAAATGATAACATCCCATTAAATTTTCTAGATTGCAGGAATATTTCAAAAGAAGATACACCAACCTTGGGCAGATATGGCTTCTGATCATCATCAAATGCATTACGTAAGACCCACTTCTCAATCCTCCCAAGATCGGGCCTTATATGCAACAAATTTATATGGCACTAACCATAAGTGTACATTCCTTTACAGAAAAAAATGGGCCAAAATATGTAACTAAATTCTAAAACTCCTCCTTCGACCAACATGCGATAGAAACTACTAGTGATCAAGTAACTAACACCCCGTATCATTTGCATCAGCTCATTATTGAATAAAAGAACCTAGAAAACTGACTACCACCTTATACACCAGATGAAAGCACCAAAAGCCAGAACATATATTGCATTCAAGAGTGGAAATTGATGTCACCCCTACAATGTGAAATGTCATCCCCGTAAATGGTTAGGAAAAACCAGGAATGATAACATGCAGAGAAAAAAAAAGCTTGTCTAGTTTATTCCAGCATGGACGGACATGACATTCCTTTTCTCAACATTAAATTAAATGATGCTAAATAATGACAAATCTAGAAACATCGTACCATTTTCCACTCGGGATCTATACTCATTGCAACATTGATGAACTCTTTGTCTAAAAAGGGTACACGAGCTTCAACTCCCCATGCCGAAGTTGACTTGTTTGCTCTCAAGCAATCATAAAGATGAAGAGCTTTGATCTGTTGAATTATTTTTTTTGATAGGAATAATAGGCCTCATTAAAAACCTCCCTCTTAATTAGCTCTTGGAAAGAGTAACTATCGGAAGGAGGAAAAGAGTGCCTTAGTTTATTGAATAGAGAAACTATTACAATAAATTATACCAATACAATTAGGGCATCAGAATAAAACTATAATCTTAAAACACCCTATAAAAATACCCTTACAATCAACCAATCCCATCCTTAGCTAATTTATCTGCTTCCCAATTACATCCCCTAGGAATCCATCGAATAATAATCGCCCTCTCATGAACTAAGGACACAATATCCTCAACAAGTGAACTGAAGAAACTAGGAACAGAATTAGGCAGCAGAATCCAGTCTACAGCAGATTTACAGTCACTTTCTAGGAACAATCTTCCCTTTGCCGCCCAATCTGATGATAGGAAAATGTCTAGGCCTTTCTTAATAGCTTTTAGTTTAGCCAACGGAGGAGGGCCTGGACCAATACTAACAGAGAAGGTCGATAGGATAATGCTATTACAATCTCTCAAAATACCTCCAATTCCTCCCTTCATCCCATCAGACTTGACAGCCCCATCAACATTAAATTTGTAAAAATCTGTAGGGGGAGGCTGCCAACTTTGTTTCGAACTCCTATGAGTATTCTGGTAACCAAACCTGTCTGCTAGAGAGGGGTCCCCTACCAACAAATCAACTTGAATTTGGATATTAGGAAACTTTGCTAGAAACCATCTAGCCAACCTAAATCTTATTAGGAAAAAGAGAGAGGTTATATCAAGGCTAGAATTTTCAAACACTACTGAATTCCTTGCTTTCCAAATAGACCAAAGAACTACTCCCGGAATGAATTTCCAAATGTTCGATTTTCTGTTTAGATCAGACCATGAACTTAGCAAAACTTGTGGATCATTAGGCAAAGCTATAGATGTCCCAAATCTTCAATTTGTTCCAAATATCCCCTGCAACTGAGCATGAGAAAAAAAGATGCTGGACTGTTTCTTCATTATTTTTACATAGTGGACATAGTGCGTCTTCCATAGGAACCCCCCTTTTCTTCAGCTCAATTATGACTGTCAATTTCTTGTGTATGATTTGCCAAAGGAATGTTTCTACTCTAGGGGGAGCGAAACCTGACTAAACCCATCTTTTCCAAGAAAAACCACCTCCTTGACTATTAGATAGAGCCACCCTGCAGGATTTCACCGAGAACAAACTATCCCCCTTCCCAGACCAAGAAAGAAAATCCTCCATTGAGTCAGATAAATTAAAACAATTTAATGCTGCCATTAGTTCAATCCATTGATCCAATTCCCAATCACATAAGCTTCTTCTTGTTTGAACATTCCACACCCATCCATTTACATCAAAGCAACCAAAATCAACCACCTTACCCCTTTTATTGTTTGATAATGCAAATATCCTGGGGAATTGAATCTTCAAGGGTAGGTCATTGACCCAAACATCATTCCAAAATGAAATCGATTTGCCACTTCCCAATGAATCTTAGTATTCGACCTCAAACATCCTCCAACATCATCCTTCATACATTATTCACAATTCCTTTCCAAATCCAGGATCTTGAGTTGAAACAACGTTGCTATTGACAGAGATAAAAGTTGTGTTGCATCATCCTTTTCCAAAGTGAATCTTTCTCATTTGCAAATTTCACACCCATTACCCAACAAAGCCCTATTTATGATATTCAAATTCAAAATTCCCAAGCCACCGTCTTCCAAAGGTTTACAAACTGCCTGCCAACTAACCCAGTGCTTCGATTTTACTTGAGCTTCCCCCAAAGAAAGTTAGACATCAAAGTATAACTTTCTGCCTTACTTTGAGCGGCATTTTGAAAATGGATAAGAAAAAAAAAACGATAACGATGATAATACGTTTATAAGCATAATCTGCCCACCATTGACAGTGAAGAAGCCTTCCAACCAGCTAACTTGTTGTTAAAATTCTGTAAAACCGGCTCCCAAAGTACTTCAGAGTTTTTCTTTGCACCTAGAGGTAAGCCAAGATAATCCATAGGAAAACAGCCCACTGAGCATCCGATATCATTCGCCCATTCATTTAAGGTAGCATCTTCAACATTTATACCAAGCAATTTACTCTTAGATAGGTTTAAATGTAATCCTGTCATTAAACTGAAAATCCTTGGCACTCTTTTGATGTTCTGAATGCTAGTAAGAGAGTCACGACTAAACAGAAGTCGGCGAACTGTAGGTGAGTCAAAAGGAAAGGATTAGTTGATCTACCAATATCAAACCCCTGGAAAGTCCCAAATCAGAAGCTTTAATCACATTAGATGTAGGAGTTCACCAATTAGATTAAACAGCAGAGGGGAAAGACGCAGCCTTATCTTAACCTTTTGTCATTGGGAACTCCTCAGTAGGAGAATCATTTACTAGAACCGAAATTGAGGCAGAAGATAGACAATATTCAATCCAAGAAACCCATTTCTCCCCAAACCCCATAGCTTTCATTACTTAAGAAGAATCGGGTCATTCACTTATCATAGGCTCTTCGAAAATCAATTTTGAAGACTACCCCCTTCCTACCTTGCTTCCTCCAATAATATATACATTCATTAGCTAAGAATGCACAGTCAAGGAGTTGCCTACCCGGAATAAATGCGAATTGATAAGGACTAACCAAATCTGTTATACAAGAAACCAATTGTCCAAACGATTTTTTTAAAAAATGTGAGATTTTGAAAACCATATTAATTCTTAATTATCCTCTTTTTTAATTTAAAATCAAATGCGATTTAAAAGACCTCGTTTGAAAATTTAGATTTCCTTTACGATCGAAAAATACGGTTTGAGAGTCGCCACCAATCTTTGATTAGGGTGTGATTGAGCACCAAAAATGCTGTCATTTAAATAAAAATAATTTAATTAAAAAAACAAATTGAGGTCGGCGT